AACTTTGCGAGGCAAATGATTCACATGTCACCGTACGTTTCTCCAAACGTATGTTTATGTATCTATGTTGAACTTCTTTCGCACCGTACGTAGCCAACCGTGATAATCGGAGGTTGGCTTCTCTTTAACCGTTCGCGTGGCTCACGACACGCTGCATAATGGACGAGCCCCGCTCGTAGCCCGGCTTGCACCGCGAACATCCCCTGGCAGAATGGGATTCTATTTGCCTTGCGAGATGATCTGTTGCGAGTTAGCGATCCCCATCTGCTTCGCATTACCGTGACACCAATTGTTGCTGACAGACAGGTCTCGCCTTGAAACCGCGTCTCGCCTTCCACATCACCACCACCACCATCATCACCACACTCCGAGCAAAATAATATTTCGTCTGCATGGCCTAACGAAGAAAGTTGTACATTCTCTCTCTCTCATTCGTGATGTGCATAACAAAGCGCGGTTGTTGGTGGAGTGAGTGGTCTTCTCTCTAGCAGGGATGGCCAACCTAGAACAGACGAAGACCCCAATAAATTCCTTGCCTGTGAGTTCTGCAAAGAGCCAAGTGCGTGTGTATATATGTGTGTGTATGTGTGCATATATGTGTATGTGTGTTTAAACTCCAGTTTAACAACAGAGGTCTCACTAAGAATCAGTCGAGCGGCAATATCTTTTCATCGGTTGCGTAACGCTGTGTGGAAGCTACCTGGTCTGTCGCTCCGCACTAAGCTTCAGGTCTTCTCGGCCACGGTCATTCCCTCCCTTCTCTACGCTTGCGAAACGTGGACCCCCTTAATGGAACGTCTTCGCCGGTTAGAAACATTTAGGCTGGCCTGCCTACGATCCATCCTGGGTTTAACCAGACTGGATTGTGTGAGGAGCTCACAAATCCTTGAAAGATCTGGGCAAGGTCCCATCAGTGAGCTCCTCCGGCAGGCAAGGCTGCGTTGGCTGGGTCATGTAGCCCGCATGCCCAGCCACCGCATGCCGAAACAGCTTTTGTTCGGCCGGATCGAGGGGGCTAAACGGGCGCGGCACGGGCTACAGAAGAGATGGAGTGATGTGGTACAGGAGGACGTGTAGCTGAGTGGACTTGCCGATGACCGGTACCAGCGGTGTCAAGATCGGCCTCTGTGGAGGAGGCTCGTGAAGGATGCTACTGGGCAGTTGGAGGCAGTCGCCCTCCAACAACAACGAAAGGCGGAGGAGCGACGCTCACAACAACGAGCGGAGCGCCGGGTGGCTAAAGCGCAGCAGGTTGTCACAGTAGGGGGCACAGGTGGTGCATCAGCCAGTCATCTCAGTCAGTCGACCCGTGGCACCTGGGTCTGCCCCGTGACCTCCTGCCAGCGGGCGTTCGACACTCCACGTGGCCTCAAGGTGCACATGTCCTGGCACAAGCGTCGTGGTGACGTCACCGCCACTTAGTGGCGAATGGCTATACGGGGGATCTTTGTATATGTGTATATATGTATGTGTGTATATGTGGAACATCTTCGCCGGTTAGAAACATTTAGGCTGGCCTGCCTACGATCCATCCTGGGTTTAACCAGACTGGATTGTGTGAGGAGCTCACAAATCCTTGAAAGATCTGGGCAGGGTCCCATCGGTGAGCTCCTCCGGCAGGCAAGGCTGCGATGGCTGGGTCATGTAGCCCGCATGCCCAGCCACCGCATGCCGAAACAGCTTTTGTTTGGCCGGATTGAGGGGGCTAAGCGGGCGCGGCACGGGCTAGAGAAGAGATGGAGTGATGTGGTACAGGAGGACGTGGAGCTGAGTGGACTTGCCGATGACTGGTACCAGCGGTGTCAAGATCGGCCTCTGTGGAGGAGGCTCGTGAAGGATGCTACTGGGCAGTTGGAGGCAGTCGCCCTCCAACAACAACGGAGGGCGGAGGAGCGACGCTCACAACAGCGAGCGGAGCGCCGGGTGGCTAAAGCACAGCAGGTTGGCACAGTAGGGGGCACAGGTGGTGCATCAGCCAGTCATCTCAGTCAGTCGACCCGTGGCACCTGGGTCTGCCCCGTGACCACCTGCCAGCGGGCGTTCGACACTTCACGTGGCCTCAGGGTGCACATAGCCTGGCACAAGCGTCGTGGTGACGTCACCGCCACTTAGTGGCGAATGGCGGTTGTTGTTGTTGTTGTTGTGTATGTGTGTATATATGTATGTGTGTGAATATAGTGACAGTTTTCGGCACAGTACTGGAGAAATACTATTCTTAGCTGGCGTGAGAGTGCCTTCTAGGTCGTGAGCCTGTGGCGTATTAAACAGCCGCATGTTGCCCACTGCTGCCCTCCACACAGCCCAGCAGCGTTCTTCACTGCAGCAGGGCTGGCGGCAAACTGGCGGCCCCAAACACAACAACACTCGTGAATTATTTTGTCTCGCAGGCGGTCCTCGCACTGATGATGTCTTGTCGGCGAAAGTAGCCACCCCCCCCCACCCCCCTTTGAAAATTGGAGGAGACCGACACTCTAGATGGTGACACGTCTGATCTCTCTACCCGCACGCAGTTCCAGCCGTCTTGCCTTGCTCTCACGACATTGGCTCGCCGGCAAAGCATGGCCCAGCTGCTCGCTCCCCCCACCCGACGAACCGTGTGCACGTTGTGGCGTAACGGTCGCTTACCCACCCATAACACCGCAGCCAGGTGATGGAAGTGGAGCAATGGATTATTTAATCTATCTGTGCGGAGCTTTGAACGTTATCCCCAACATTAATGGCACCCATTCACGTAACCGGCCAAACATTCCAACGCAGGACCCTCCTTCCAAAGAAGTCTTCAGGCTCGAGGGTTTTTTTTCTAGCTAAAGTTCATCATTATTTTGTGTTCATATTATTTTGTCCACGTAACTTTGGTCGTTGCTGTTAATAATCACAAACTTGCATATGTACAGCGCTGTACATTTAGTTTTGCAATACGTTTATTACAGTTTTAGATCGTTATGTCACAGCAAATATAACAAGCACTAACTGAATTCTGCTCTTTTTTTGGCAAAAAAAACTGTGGCCTTAAAGGACAAAAACGTCTTTATAAAATAGGCGACGCTTTGGGCATTGACCCGTCTTTATCGCAGGCCAGGGATAGAGTGGATAACAACACGAGGTGGAGACTGCACTTTACACCACGAGGCCTCGATGGGAATCATGTTCTCTGATGACCAGTTCTTAAATTGGCTGATGGAATAGTTACTTACCCCTAGCAACATTGGGTAACGGGACAAACCCTTTCAATAATCTCGTACGGTGTGAAGGAAGCTTAACACAATCAATAACTTGATACTTTTTTATATAAATATGTTTTATTCCACATCCTCACATCCTGACATTCTTTACGGCATTACCAGTTGCATCGGCGGTATCAGGCATACCTGACTCATCAGAGCAGGCTGGGGAGGGGGGGGTTAGTCAGGTAATTGCCATTCTGGGCTCAGGTATTTAAGATTGTTCTAACGTTTAGGAAGAAACCCCATGTAGTGCTGTGTTCTTCTTAAGTCTACTTCTTGAGTTACATTGGCTCTTTGGGGTTTGCTTCATCGACAAATTATATTTATTTTTTACAAAAGCACTCCATCCAATAATAAGCAATCATTTATTTTTGTCCGGTAAACTTGTACATTTGTTTTTGTTCATATATACCGACAGTCGCCCGTGACCGACACGGCCTGCATCGGGGGGGGGGGGGCGGTGGTGGCGACAATGCCCTTGCCTGGAATTCGACACCGTGGAGGCAACCGGGGTGGTTTGGTGGATCACCACGCACGTGCTCTGAAACTCACTTCCCGTCGGGGTCGAGGTGCCGTACCGTGGCTCGCCAGTAGATGGCGGTACAGCAAAAACGTGGACTGCCCACCTGTTTCACCCGTGCGGTGTGGAGTGTTTCCCCCTCGCACGTGTGGGGTTTTCTACGGGTGCACCGGGTTTCTCCACACGTGTAAGCACTCATGAATTATCCGATAACACGGTAACATATATAGAGAACCGGAGAGCTTGAACAATCGCTGCGCCGGCTCACCAAATGGATGCCTCCCTGCCTGTCCGTGGTTGCTCCTCGAGCCTCCGAGTCATCCTCGCTCTCTCTACGAGAGCGAGTGGATACTGTGCGCTTGCGGTGTGTTACAAGTTGAACTTTTTTTCATTTTACAGCAAGCACTTAATTTGCGTGTCGCTCGAAATTTGCAGAGCTCATCTTAAACTATGAAGACAATCTCAAACATTTCTGTACTTTATTTTTTGCCACGGCTTTAAATGACATGTGCATGCTATCACCAAGTTTCCACCCTGATTGAACAACTTTAGCCTCCTGTATTCGTCTAAGTCTACGGCACTGCTTTAAGTATGGCCGAGTTAAAACCAAAGTATCCGTGGGGTGTTTTTTTCTGAATGCATTTGTTTTATGATCGGACAAGTGTGATTATTATTATTATCTATCCAGTGTACATTTAGGTACAGCCGGTTTACGCACCACCAGCCACGTGGTTTGTGAAAATTGAACAAACATTCAGGATGGAACTGGCTTGTGGGAGTTCTCACTTGGCAATGTCCTGTTAATTTTTCAGGTCTAATTTTATCTCTCAATATATTAATCAATAGGCACTGCCACAAATTAGACCGCTTACCCACACTATGTGGAGCCCAATCTTGCATGTTCTGCTACAGAGTATGGCAGTTTTCTTTGGTTCTTTCGGTAAAGTCACGTAGAATGAGAATAAAATAATAAATTGATAAAATAAAATAACACAATAATATTCTCACGACGTTTCGGCCACAACACAAGCGGCCTTCATCAGGTGAACAGCGCTGTCCTACCAGACAGTCTCGCCCCTTCACCTGATGAAGGCCGCTTGTGTTGTGGCCGAAACGTCGTGAGAATATTATTGTGTTATTTTATTTTATCAATTTATTATTTTATTCTCATTCTACGTGACTTTACCGAAAGAACCAAAGAAGATGAATCATTGCAGTCACGAAAGCTTTAAATCGAAAAGTATGGCAGTTATTTAAAAAAAATCTCAACACATTCCGTCCATAACACCGTGGCCCTGAAAGGAAACAAACATAATACAGGTGACGTTTTTTTAGAAATGGCCCATCTTCATGGTCCATTTGACAAAGATACATTGCACCTCACACCTTCTGGCTTTGACATTCCTCCTCCTTGAAGACACTGGCGGTGTAACCATCAACTCAATTACAACATGAACAACAGGGCGATGCGCACATCTCCCCTTCGTGATGGATAATTAAAGGCCACAATCGCAGGCGGTGCGGTTGTGGCCATGCAACCCGAACTGTGGAGAGTATCGTGGACCCACTCGAGTCTGCGCTCTTTCAACGGAGGAGGAATCGCAAAACTACACGGACTCTTTGGCAGCCCTCTTGTGGCCACCAAACCTCGACATTGGCATTTAGCTCTTGAACATATTGACATCATTCGCAAGAACAGAATTTGTCACCACCAACAAAATGTATGCACCACCAACAAAAAATCTGCACGAGTTATGACTACTTGAAAATAAAACCAAACATGTTTGGGTCCTCAGGACTGATATTGCCCACATTAAGTGAAATACCAAATGTAATATTTTGTCTGTGCGCATTCATTGGACACAAGGTAGACCAACAACGCACTGCACTTGATAACTCCCTTTAATCTGCAATAGCTGAAACCTGCATTTGAACCCAGAGTGTCAGCAGTGCTAGCTCAGCGATCTGACAAAAAATAAGGCTCCCGATCCACCCGCCTGATGACGAGTCTTCAAGAGATACATTTATGTACTGGTAGAATATGCTGAAGTACAGTCAAATAACCCCACAAAACCCACATGATGTGCCGAAGCCCTCATCCAGCAGTGCATTGACAAAAGATTGAAAATCATTGTTATTGTTTTTATTCCTGAGGCGTAAAAACAGTATTCAAGCAAGGGCATCAATGTCAAGGACTACTCTTTGTAAAGCGCTGTCGTGTAAACATTATATATTTCTACCAATTCGACAACCTGTGCTGTTGTTAAATTACTTAATTGAATTTACTTAATTTCTTTTATTTGACAGCAACACGGCCATTGTCATCACTGACTGCAAAAACATAGCAGCACCCTCCTGAGAAAAATAGTCTTGAGAGACTCGCTGAGGCTTTCCTCACCAAACAAGTTTAACGATGTAATCAAGAACAATAAAATATCATGAGATGAAAATTCATTCCATATTCTCGCCTTCTGAGATCCGTCCGGTAACTTCTGATGCACACTTAGGGGCAGCATTTTCCCACAGTTAGTGGATCACGTCCCGTGTTTTACCGATGGCACTTAATGCAAAAAAATCTAGTCAAATTAGAAATTATTCAAAGGATTAAAGTCGGTGCGGAGACAAGGAAAGTTATCAGAATGTATTACATTTAAATCCAAAAATACGAAATTAAATCCGTACTTGTGCCAAAAGATTCAAATATCCGATAACCGAAACTCACCCCTACTACTACACATTCATATATACACTGTACACAGAGCACATTGCAGTTGCGTGTGAATGTAATACTGCAGCAACTCATCCAGTTCATTGTGTTCACAAAGCTTCCTTAGCCAGGGCCTCATTTCTCACGGAATGTCTTCTGGGTCGCTAGTAGACTCTAGTAAAACAGCGTGATTGGTAACAACAGTCATAGCGAGCGGTAGACTGGATATCGTCTGTCGGGTGTGGAAATATCTTTTGGTGTCATTGATAGACCGGAGTAGGTGGTTACGTGACTAGTATTAGCTACAGCCATCACGATGAGAGGCATACCGGATGTTGTGTGCCGGCAGTGAAAATGTTGTCCGGGTAATCGTCCCATACAGACCCCGGCTGGCTAAAATGAAGTAACGTACAAAGTACTTTGCGAGACCCCCCCCCCCCCCCCCCCAACACGACTTCTGTAAACACCACGGCATCTCTCCACGCTCGCAAAACATTCAGGGTCCATGCTAGGCCCCGTCCGGCACGTTTGCCGTCACGTTCCTCCTGTGCTTGGCACCCATGGCCGGCTCGGCGTGCGGTGGCGAGGTGACATTCTTGTGCCCAGGCCACGTCCGTTCGGGGATGCAGCCTTCCATCTGCAGCATCTCGGGCCAGTTCTCATACAGGTTCTTCTTGGGGATACTCCGCAAGTGCTGTGGAGGCAGACAAACAACAAAGATCGCCCGTATAGTTTTGACAGGCCGCTTGGGGCAAGTGCCGTTCACGAGCACCTGTGAAGGCAGCACTACGCCCAGCTGCCTTTGGGTCCCCAGCGGTGATGTTCACACACTGCACCAGATACTCATTTTAGGCTGAGTTAACTTAGGGGAGGCCCAGGACCTGTTGAGATAATCGTCGATTATATTGTCCTCAAGCGGGAATCTAGCTCGGGCTGCCGGGTTCGCAGCGCAGTGCGCTGACCGCTGACCCACTGAAAACCCTAACACCGTGCCCAGGATTCAGCATCCTTTGTTTAATCGGGAGACGTCCCATCTCCTTTCTACTTTAATCGTTCACTCGCTCGCCCACAGAGGCATTGCTGAATCTCAGGACTCGTCGGTAAAAGCTTCCCGCTGTGGCTGCGTCTACTCAGACTGGTGCCTGCCGCCTTCTGCAGAGCCACCTGCAGTTCTTCATCAGGGAGCCTGAAAATATCGGGTGAAAAATCAAGCCCCGCCTGGGTCAACTGGCGATCGCGTGGCCAGTATCTATTCACGGGGAGGTACCATCTCAAAGGGGCTCTTCCCCCGGATGCCCTTGGCCCCGACGAAAGCCCAGCTGTCCCTCCTCTTCAGCAGCCGGGCCACTGAGCTCCCCAGCTCAGTCAGCAGTTGCCGCGCGGTGGTGTTGAGCCTGCGGGAAACCACGGTGCGATCAAAAATCAGAGCCGGTGCGAGTCGCACTTTGGCGCACGGGCGCTTTCACTAAACTTCGGTGGCTTCTTGGATTTTAAAATCGCACGAATAATAATAATATGTTTGGGGTGTTGTTTAGAATGTGACTGTAATTTAAACAAACTGTGATCGATGGGTGAGGAGCAAAGGGAGTGTGAACGCAGCTGTGGGCAAGGGGTTTGGGAGGACGCGGGTTACATTCTGACTTGGGAGGAGTGCTTCCTGCTGGCTGTGGGTCAGTTGGGCATGGTTACATTTTTTAAACTATTAAACAATGTTTTATTTTACCAGGTAAGGCTAACTGAGCTATATAGCTCTTTTTCAGAAGCGACCTGGCCACAAATTATAGCTCGACAAAATAGCTTATCACGTGGAAATTTATAGCAGCCAAATACTCGAAACGCATGTTTTCCAGATGTAGAGAAAAATCCACGCGATCACGGGGAGAGAGACATGCAAACTCCAAATATATAGGCGTCAGGGTCGGGATAAAACTCACGACCCTCTGCATATCAGGCGAGGTAGTAAACATCTCGCCACCGTGGCACCCACTAATCACGAGCGGTTGAAACACTGACTCAGCAGTGTCAGCCCGGTGTCTCTTGACTCCGGGGTCACCCAGATCAAGTATTGACCTTGGATCTCTATGGTCTCTGATATCAATAATGATAAATCATCATCGTGATTTGTTTTTGATTGAGCCGCCATCCTATACCCCGGGGCATCTCAGGCCATTTTACATCTCACATCTCAACTCAACGCATTTCATTGAGTACCTCCAGTGGCAGCTGTTCCTGTGGGCGCCAGGTGACTCGGCACCTGGCCTACAAATGGGCAATGGTCTGCTGCCAGTCGGGGGCGACGATTCCGATGTGCAATCCCGATTGCGTAATAAGCGGTGTGATTTCCGAACTTGGGAAAGTTGGACACTTGACGCCAGCACACAGTGGCCTAACTCATGCGAATGACGTCAAGGGATCTTTAACTTCCACTGCGAGTGTAGTATTATTGTTTACTACGGGTAGCACACCGCGCAGTATTAACCAGGGCGGCCGCCGCATTCGAAAACAGTGAACCTCTGCAACAGGCGGCGAGCGCGGCGCTATCGCCGCCGTGCCTTGAACGGCGCGGGAGCCGAGCTCGCTTGGCGGGACCGGCCTGCTGCCGCGTACCTGGTGGCCGGGTCGTGGAAGCTGGCGAGCATCACGATGGTGCCGTGCCTCACGGACCGCAGGAAGTTCACCATTCCCGCGTCGTCTGCGCACGCGGCCACACACGGGCACGCCACCGTGCGTCATAGAGAGAGAGAGAGAGACAAACGCAGATCAACGTTGGATTTCATTTCATTTATTAGGTTTGCTGAACCAGCTGGCCTGGATTGGGCAAAGCCGAGCCCACTTTTTGACCCAGGAAACTGGAGAGCAGCACCGACTCAGCCTTACTGACCCGCCATTACAACTAACAATCACATATTTAAGAATCACAATTGTATGTACGTGTGTTGAACCTCTTTCGCATCGTACGTAGCCAACCGTGCTAATCGGAGGTGCGAAAAAAATACAAAGAACATATGTACTACTAAAATAATTAAAATAACATTTTAAAACATTTTAAGATTCCGTCAACGGTCCTAAAACTCTCGGGCACACTGTTTCAGTGCCCAAGCAGGCTGCTATTATTATTATTATTTAATTTTAAAACACCGTGAGCACCAAGTGAACACCACGAGGAAAACGTTTGCAATATAAAAGCAGTACGGGGCTTGATACACAACACAGGTGGTCTTGACGCTTGCTACAGTAAGAAGCGAAGCAGTGCCATGGATCAACACGGTTTGGATTCACGTCGTCTCTTTATCGTGCGGGTGCAGCGATCGTCAAAGTGATTCCCTTGCTCGAGCGAGCATCTAGGTACTGGTGATCATCTCCCGTATACAGCCCCGAGCCAGTGGTGGGGAATTCCACGTTCCTATGGCGGGGCGAGTCTTTACATTAAACAACATACGGTACTCTCTTGACCGTGGTACTCATTTTACAGAACCCAGGAGGATGACGGGCAGAGTCGACCACCCAAGCAGGATTTGTCCGAATGCGGTGCGGAGCGATGGCGCAGTGCGCCGTGAGTGCTACTGTCCTCACCTCCGTTGAACGTGTTGAAATACGACGTCGTTATCATTTTACCACTCGTACCTGCGACAGGGATTAGAGGTGCAAAAATAATATTGTAAGTATTTCCACAGGTGCCGCCATCACCACCATCGTCATCAAAAAGCCACGCTCAGTCCACTGCTGGATGAAGACCTCCCCAAGTTGTCGCCATCTGCCACGATCCTGCGATGTAAATAATCCACTCAACACCTGCACAAGAGCTGATGTCATCACTCCATCTCTGCGTTGGATGTCCCCTTGGGTGTACAACCAAAGTACAAACATTTTTACCATTTCCTGTTTACAGCCCTGAGCCAGGGGTGGAAATTCCATATTCCTCTGGTAGGGATGAGTTATTCCATAAAACATTCTCTGTTGACCTTTCAAAAAGTGTTACTCATTTTCTAGACCCCAGGGGGATGATGGGCTGAGTCAACCCCCGACAGGGATGTGAACTTGTAACCTTGTGGTTGCGAATTAGAACAATGGCAGATAGATTTGTGTATTACAAGAATGTTCTTTGTTTACCCAGGAAAGCTACACCGAGTCCCAGGACTCTTTGTCAGGAGGGTCTTGCTACATCGAGACGTTTGGCCGATCCCGCTGTTGAGTTGCTTGCGACTGAGCTGAGGATGAAAGGCTTACCATTTACCAATGCGATATTTATCCCGAAGCCAACGTTATTCAGCACGGTGCTCATTAATCTGCGAGTGAGAAAACACACACGCACACAAGACAACGTCGTTCGCTAGCATCCACAGTTATATATTCACCCCCGACATTCATTCACAGATGTATGTATGGCCGAGAGACACCTACAACATTTTGGTGAAAATTCATGGTATTTTTTTAGTCTCCGTTTTTCTCCCTTCAACAAGGTGATATCAATTCTGACTTGTGATAGGACTTTGTAGGATGAACGTTGTATAAGGACACGGGGTGACCAATAAGGTCTGAATTGGTCAGTAATAAGTAAAGCACTGATGAGGGGTTGACGGGTTTGTATTATTATTTAAGAGAAGGTAAATGGTAATCAGAGATTGCACCCCAAGCTCCCACGTGCACAGTAGAGTAGAGGCATGTCTCCAATTTATATTTGACCGGACTCCGTGCTGAGAAATTCAGCTGCGGTATTGTGACGTGGAGGGTGTTCATACCTGTCAACCCCTTATCAGTGCCCTACCTTGTTACAGACCAATTCAGACACTATTGGTCACCCCGTGTCCTTATACATCTAAAGGTTCATCCTACAAAGTCCCATCACAAGGGAGAAACACAAACAAATAGACAAAACAATATTTCCCTGGACAGGAATACGGGTAAACAGGATGGGTTGACAGGTTTGGGTGTTTCTGATCGCTACTGCAGGCACGCAACTTGCCCTTCTGAAGAGGACTTTTGCAATAACGTTTTGCCGTTCCACAACCCCCCCCCCCCCCGGGTGTTCAGCTGCTGTGGAGTTGCCCCGCTGATCACAACGCGGAGTCTCGACTCATCGTCTCCAAAGCTTCATTATTTTTATTGTTGGCATTGCTGCTGTCAATTTATGCGACCCCCCCCACCCCGGTGCTCAGCCGTTGTGGAGTCGCCCCGGAGGACAAAGCACAACGCGGAGTCTCTACTCGTCATCTCCCAAACGTTTTTATTTTTCGATTTAAAGCTTTCGTGGCTGCAGGGATTCATCTTCTTGGTTCTTTCGGTAAAGTCGCCACGTAGAATGATATATAAACTCCTTTGTCAAGGCGCTCTGCTCCTCCCACCCAGCTTAAAAGACGCTGCCAAGCGTAGCAGCGTTCACTGAAGCGCTGTCTTCCCGACAGTTCTGTTCCTTCACCTGAAGAAGGCTACTTGTGTTGTGGCCGAAACGACGTGAGAATTTCATGTTATTATGTTTTACTTTTATTATTTTATTTCCATTCTACGTGGTGACTTTACCGAAAGAACCAAGAAGGTTTTTATTTTTATGGTTGCTGCTGCTGCTGCTGTCTACTTAGCCGGCCTGTTCCCCTTCGCAAGGATTACGGCGGGAGGAGAGGGCCCGGGGCAGACCGGTGACACTGCATTGCACAGCATTCACAGCCAAGCGGCAAGGCAGCAGCCAGGCAGCGAGCCGGCGCCAACTGCTTCCCAAGCTCTGCGGTCCTCTACATATTACGATCTCTTTTTTTCAGCCAATGAGTATTTTTACACGCGGGAGGGAAACCGGAGCACCCGGAGAAACGCCGCGGCGTGCGACGGAGTTTTTACCGATAACCGCCGGGAACCGTTCGCTACAGGAGGAGACGGCGGGGGGTCGTAGGAACGGGCAGAGATGGGGGAAGGGAGCGGCTCACATCTCGTCGTTAAAGCACAACGTAGGCCCCAAGAAGTTTCCGGCGCCGGAGTCGATGCTGAAGGAGAAGTGGTGCGGGGGACACGGAGACTGCAGGCCGCACACGTTGCCTCTCTTGGCAGGCGCTGGGGGACAGCGAGGAGGGGTGGCACAATCATCGCAATCTAAACTAAAAGCTAGTTTTTATTTTACCAGGTAAGGCTCATTGAGCTGTCTTTTTCAGAAGCGACCTGGCCACAAATGATGGCTCAACGAAGTGGCTTATCATCACGTGGAAATGTCTCGCAACCAAATACCCTAAACGCACGTTGTGATTATAAATGTGGAGGGACACACCGGAGAATGTGGATAAGCATCTACTCAACCACGGGGAGAAAACGCAAACTCCAAATATACAGCAGGCATCAGTGTCGGGATCGAGCCCATGCGCTCCTGTACACCAGGCGAGGTAGTTAACATCTCACCACCGAGGCGCCCGACCATGGGGGGCAGCGCAATCATTGGGGGGCAGTGCACGCCAGCACGCCCATTCCCAGGGACTCATTTCTCACTGGGACGCCGGCTGCAGTGGGACACGATGGCTCCCGCCCGGGTTACCTTTCTTGGATCCCCGCGGCTTCCGCGTGGGCAGCAGAGGAGAGTCAATCGCGTTTTGATATGCAAGAGAGATGACGTTTCTGAGCCTTAGCCGGTGTTAGACATGTGCTCGAAGGTCAGGGAGGTGGTCTTAAGATCGTTTGAGCATGCGTGGAGAAGAGACAAAGGAGATAGTATGAGAAGAGCCATTGAGATTAGAATCCCTGGGACTCACACAGGATCCATAGACTCACACAGGACCCATAGACTCACGCAGGATTCATAGACTAACACAGGATACATAGACTCACACAGGAACCATAGACTCACACAGGATCCATAGACTAATACAGGATTCATAGACTAACACAGCATCCATAGACTCACATAGGAACCAGAGACTCACACACTACCCATAGACTAACAGAGACCATAGACTCACACAGGAAGCATAGACTCACACAAGACCCAATACTCATAAGAAACCCAGAGACTCACACAGAGCCCCACAAACTCACACAGAGACCCATAGAAAACAGAGAAACCCATCGAATCACACAGAAACCCAGAGACTCATTTGGGGAGGCAGACTCAGCAGTAATGGGACCCGAGGCATGTGGATGTTTGTGCTGCACTTACGCTTTGGATTGATTTGCCTTTTCACTTCTGCAAGACAGACACGCAACGCAAATGCGGTATTAGTTTCATTGGGTCGGTCCACTCAGCTAACACTCGTGCAGGCACAAATCAAAGTGCAAAGTAACCTTTTAGTGCACGGTCCAAAGCAGAAATCGGTACCGCCAAAGGTAGCATACCTTTAGTAGTACATATTTATTTACACGGCTAATTCGTGAATTACTTGATAACCCCACTCATTTTAAATGGTCATCGCGTTATTCACTATTGTTGGTCACATGAAGAAATTGGAACAGCTGCTGTAATGCCCCCTTAAGTGGTAGCGACAAATGAAACATCGGGTCTGGGCTCGTGGACTATTTGCGTTCACAAGATGGTGATTTGTTATCTCCCTCGTCCGGTACGAGGGAGGTCGTGGGTTCGATCCTGACCCCCAGGCGCCTGTTGTATATTAAGAATGTACACATTCTCCCCGTGGTGGATATTTATCCGATGAGCTATCATCACGTGTGGCCAGGTCCCTTCTGGAACTAATCGCGCTTCTCAGTGGGCTTTACCTGGCAAATAAAATAAAGTAGCCGTAGGTTGGATAAATGCAATTGCTTGATATCGTTTGTAAATTCAGATGCTTTCAGGTAAGGCCAGTTTTACAAACGCTATTACACTATGTGCACACACACACACACAAAAAGGTCGTTTTTAAACAGCAAAGGATAATGGGAATCTTAGCATGATTTGTATTTCTCGATGACGTCACCCTATTTTAATTTTTTTGACAATGAAGAATGGTTCACGCCTTGCGAACGCTTACATATCTTTTGATGAACGAGTATCACAATTGCTTAAGACTGACAAACACAAGTGGCCCGAAGTTCCCGACCGTGGGTGGCTACTCTACAAGAGCCATCATTCAGCGAGGGGCCAATGAAGGACTTTTGAACTTTGGAGGTGGTGTTGTCAGTTTGACAATCTTATCAAAAGCCAGTGGCGAAGAAAACCTTAGGCCCTCATATTTTCTAGGCCCCCCGTTCGACGTTAAAGTAACAGTGGCCATCGGAAGAAAAATTATGTTTTGAATTACGGTGGCAACATTGCTGACTTTACCACAGCAGCTAAAGATAGGATTTTTATTCCGATTGAAGAAATTAGTACAGTGAGTGACTTATGTTTGACGAATATACCTACAGTCAAATGAATACCTAAAATTTACGAAGGTAAATAAATGTTTGATTTCAGAATTCCGAACAGTGTGTGATCACGGTACATGCTTCAGGCCTTCCCTCCTGTTAGCCTTAGGCCCCTCATGACGTGAATCAGTCTTTTATCAGAAGGTCCAAATCTCACGCTGATGAACCGGTGTGGTGGGGAACAGCGTGGTGGTGGTGGTGGATGAGACGAAGCAGTGCCGTTTCTGGCGGGGGGCCAGTAGCTAAGGCAGGTGATAGCAGTAGCTAAGGCAGGTGACACAGCAGTAGCTAAGGCAGGTGACACAGCAGTAGCTTAGGCAGGTGACACAGCAGTAGCTAAGGCAGGTGACACAGCAGTAGCTAAGGCAGGTGACACAGCAGTAGCTAAGGCAGGTGACACAACAGTAGCTAAGGCAGGTGAGACAGCTGTAGCTAAGGCAGGTGACACAGTTGTAGCTAAGGCAGGTGGCACAGCAGTAGCTAAGGCAGGTGACACAGCAGTAGCTAAGGCAGGTGACACAGCAGTAGCTAAGGCAGGTGAGACAGCAGTAGCTAAGGCAGGTGACACAGCAGTAGCTAAGGCAGGTGACACAGCTGTAGCTAAGGCAGGTGACACAACAGTAGCTAAGGCAGGTGAGACAGCAGTAGCTAAAGCAGGTGACACAGCAGTAGCTAAGGCAGGTGACACAGCTGTAGCTAAGGCAGGTGACACAGCTGTAGCTAAGGCCGGTGAGACAGCAGTAGCTAAAGCAGGTGACACAGCAGTAGCTAAGGCAGGTGACACAGCAGTAGCTAAGGCAGGTGACACAGCAGTAGCTAAGGCAGGTGACACAGCAGTAGCTAAGGCAGGTGAGACAGCAGTAGCTAAGGCAGGTGACACAGCAGTAGCTAAGGCAGGTGACACAGCTGTAGCTAAGGCAGGTGACACAACAGTAGCTAAGGCAGGTGAGACAGCAGTAGCTAAAGCAGGTGACACAGCAGTAGCTAAGGCAGGTGACACAGCTGTAGCTAAGGCAGGTGACACAGCTGTAGCTAAGGCCGGTGAGACAGCAGTAGCTAAAGCAGGTGACACAGCAGTAGCTAAGGCAGGTGACACAGCAGTAGCTAAGGCAGGTGACACAGCAGTAGCTAAGGCAGGTGACACAGCTGTAGCTAAGGCAGGTGACACAGCTGTAGCTAAGGCCGGTGAGACAGCAGTAGCTAAAGCAGGTGACACAGCAGTAGCTAAGGCAGGTGACACAGCAGTAGCTAAGGCAGGTGACACAGCTGTAGCTAAGGCAGGTGACACAGCAGTAGCTAAGGCAGGTGACACAGTTGTAGCTAAGGCAGGTGACACAGCTGTAGCTAAGGCAGGTGAGACAACAGTAGCTAAGGCAGGTGAGACAGCAGTAGCTAAGGCAGGTGAGACAGCAGTAGCTAAGGCAGGTGACACAGCAGTAGCTAAGGCAGGTGACACAGCAGTAGCTAAAGCAGGTGACACAGCAGTAGCTAAGGCAGGTGACACAGCAGTAGCTAAGGCAGGTGAGACAGCTGTAGCTAAGGCAGGTGACACAGCTGTAGCTAAGGCAGGTGACACAGCAGTAGCTAAGGCAGGTGAGACAGCAGTAGCTAAGGCAGGTGACACAGCAGTAGCTAAGGCAGGTGAGACAGCTGTAGCTAAGGCAGGTGACACAGCTGTAGCTAAGGCAGGTGACACATCAGTAGCTAAGGCAGGTGAGACAGCTGTAGCTAAGGCAGGTGACACAGCTGTAGCTAAGGCAGGTGACACAGCAGTAGCTAATGCAGGTGACACAGCTGTAGCTAAGGCAGGTGACACAGCTGTAGCTAAGGCAGGTGAAACAGCAGTAGCTAAGGCAGGTGACACAGCTGTAGCTAAGGCAGGTGACACAGTTGTAGCTAAGGCAGGTGACACAGCAGTACCTAAGGCAGGTGACACAGCAGTAGCTAAGGCAGGTGACACAGCAGTAGCTAAGGCAGGTGACAGCAGTAGCTAAGGCAGGTGACACAGCAGTAGCTAAGGCAGGTGACACAGCAGTAGCTAAAGCAGGTGGCACAGCAGTAGCTAAGGCAGGTGACACAGCAGTAGCTATGTCAGGTGACACAGCAGTAGCTAAGGCAGGTGACACAGCAGTAGCTAAGTCAGGTGACAGCAGTAACGATACAAGAGTGATAGGGAGGCGACTGGCCGCCAGCATGCGGCGTTCGGTCTGAACGATTGATTGATTTCAAATCGAAATCTCAATTTGAAAAAATGCGATTGGCAAATCGCAAAAGCTGCGATTTTTTACGATTTTAAAAGTCCTATTACTTTCTTATTGGAATTGTTATATATTTTATTATTATTATGATAAAATTATTTATTTAACTTAACATTTGTTCTATGTTTGATTGTTCTATTTCAATTAAAACATTTTATTAAATACATGTTGGAAGCAATTCATATATTTTAAGTTCTCATCCTTGCATCAGAATATAAAGAGCAGTTCATATTTTGAAGGTATCATGTGGTAATGCTCCATCACATGTTTCAAATCTATTACACAGTGAATACAAATATAAAACAATAAAATAAAAACATTTTATAGTTTTTTATACATATATTTTTAATTATTTTATTGTTTCCCTTCTACGTGACTTTACCGAAAGAACCAAGAATATGAATCCCTGCAGCCACGAAAGCTTTAAATCAAAATTTGAAGCTTGACTTTTAAAAAAAAAATCGAAAATAACATCGCAATCGCAATATCTGTCAGAAAAATCGCAATTTGATATTTTCCCCAAATCGTTCAGCCCTATACACAGATTTCCCCCAAAAAAAACTATTCCTGGAAATTCGCGTTCGGGGGCCGTGCCGGACAATTGTCGGCCCACCCAGCCTCGCTCTCGCGTACCGGCCATCAAGCGGTGAATCCGCGATGACTTCTCCATGCTGGAGATGAAGACGTCGGTGATGACGAGGTAGACGATGCCGAGCGAGCACAGCACCAGCAGGAAGTGCCGCAGCTGCCCTGGCAGCCCAGCGGGGGTGGGGGGAGGCCAGGCGCACGGGGGGGGGGGGGGGGGGGGTCACGCGCAGCCGACGTCGGGTGGCGTGGGTGGTGGTGGTGGAGGCGGCGTGGGCAGTGGTGGTGGTGGCGTGGGTGCTACAGGGTGAATGGGTGGTGGGATAGGGGTTGCCAACATTCGTTACGGATTGGCCGGCAGTTTCGACCAGAAATTGGCATCGGACGGGGTCCCGGTGGCTATCGGAATCCATCGGGGAGATTTTAATGACAGTGTAGGATATGGTAAGAAAGTAAATTATTCATAAATAAATAATTATCCTGGAATATCTTAAGTCAGAGTTTGCAACCCTGTGAGTGTGTAGGTTAATAACAAATAGCTAGGTGGGTAGGTAGGTGCACAGTTTGGTAGGTGGGTGAGGAGGTGGGCGAGTAGGTGGGTGGGTAGGTACGTTGGTTCGTGTGTAGGTGGGTGGGTAGGTAGGTGAGTAAGTTGATATGTAGGTGGTGAGTAGGTAGGTTCATGTGTAGGTGGGTGGGTCGGAGGGATTGCAAGTGGGTGGGTTGTTAGAAACATCTGCTTGTAGGTGCGTCAGCAGGTCGATAGAAGAGTGAGTAGGTGAGTGGGTATGTTGGTATATAGGTGGGTTGCAGTGTGCAAGTGGGTAGGTAGGTGAATTGATAGGTGAGTGAGAAGTAGGTAAGTAGGTGGGTGAGCTCGGTGTATTTGTGCGTGGTAGGTTGGTGGGTAGACAGGTTGGTTGGGGAGGTAGTTGGTATGTAGATAAAGGAGGTGGGTCACGTGGGTAGGTAGCAGAGATGCGGTGTCGTCATTTAAATATATTTATGCAGTCAAAATATATGCATTGAATTGTGTGCATAACAGTCAATGGTAATAATTTTTATTTTATTTTACAAGTAATATTATCCATCTACATTACCATGAAGTCGACATGGGGTAGAGCAGTGGTGCAGTGGTCAGCGCACTGCGCTTCAAACCCGGCGTCTGAGTTCAACTCCAGATCCCCGCTAACATCGGCGACGAGTGACATCTGAACCGAATCCTGGGCCCCCCACGCCCCTTCACCAACCCGCACTGACCAGCGTGGTGAAGTATGGTTAAAACCACTACCACAACCAACACGGCATGGGGAGGCCTTCGTACAGCAGCGGAATGACAGTCGGCTGTCGATGTATCGGGAATAACTACGCACATATGTGGGTAGGCGTGTTTGGAGATAGGCACGTGGTCATGTAGCTGAGTGAACAGGTAGGGCAGAGAGCAAGTACTTGGGTAGGTACACAGATAGGTAGGTGCACAGGTAGGTGAGGAGAGAGAAGGAGGGTCGGTGGACGAGGTGGGTATGCAGGTAGGCAGGCCGGCAGGAATGACCTTTGTGGTGATTGAACAACATTTTTCAACACAGGTATTTTGCATTTAAATTAAAAACATTGCACAGAGAAAAGACTTCGGACGAGCCAAGGAGGCTTAGACCGCGAATTTTGTGAGCAAAGCGGTTTAAAATAATTTTCATCACCGCGAATTCAGCCACGCGTGACTTAATGGGGAGCGACCTTCAGCAAACATCGGATAGAGAATGACTTAGGGGCCATCCATTGCGTCCGTACGCATGGAGGGGGAGGGGGGGTTAACCCAAACGCGTTCGCTTGCGCATGGGGGGGTCTACTGGCAGTGTACGCATAGGAAAGGGGGGGGGGGTGAAGCCTCGATAATAATCTGTCTACATTGGCCTTCAAATTAGTCAGATAGTCCGGCGGTGGACTATCTGTTTGTTTAAACACGTGAATATTATTAGTCCTTGATGGTTCTATAGGATTCGGGGGGGGGGGGTGCGTCAGGCGAACCTACGCAGGTGGGGGGGGGGGGGGGTGTAAAAAGTCCGCGTGCGTACGACGAATACCAAATAATTTAACACGTGCAGTAAGCTTTCGCGACCAATGTTACGATTCACAATTTCATTTTTCTTTGGGTCAGATCGCCGCGTAAGTAAAATGTTGTGTCGTGCACCCTCCTCCACCCGGCACGGTCGATTAATAAAGCTGTTCCATCAGCACCAGCGTTGTTCCCGAAGAGCGATACACACACACACAGTGGGTGCGGGGCGCTTTAGTGGTCACTACAGGCAGCGTCATACAGGCAGGTGACAGAAACCTGAAAAATGACTTTTAGGAGATCATAGAAATGTGTTTTTACGCAATGCATTTTACTTACACGATCCAAACAAAACAACCTAAAAAAAAGATGCATGATAAATAGGTTTGCATCATTCATTGTTTTGCTCAAAAAGCAAGTAACATCCAAACCCAGTCATAGAATTATTCATAGATCCAGTCAAATATGTATTTGAGTCATTTCTGGTTTAAATTGAGATCCCTTCCCTTTACATAATAATATAATGATAATCCAATTTATAACGCGCACAAATTTGCGGACGTAACGGCCGCAACTCAGCGGCGCGGAGCCAAGCTCAGAGTCGCTCGAAAACATGGTTATGGAGGTGAGTTTTTAAGTGTCTTTTGAAGCTGGCGATTGAGGTGATGCTGCGAATGTGCAAAGGGATGGCGTTCCAGACTGTTGGGGCTGCCACCGAGAAGTGGCGCATATACCAACTCACTTATCCAAGTCGAGGGTCGTATAGACTGCCCCAGCAGCACATCTTGTAAATTAGAGCCAATCAACAAGTTTAATCATCATTCTCAGTGACCCAGAATTAGTAAATTTGGACTACATTTATTTCGGAAGCATTTTGGCCGTACGCCGGTGTTATTAAACGGGTCATCGCAAGCCGTCGCTCGTTGTGCGCCGATTGCGCAATGGGAATCGCATGCCCGGTGCGAGGACAATTCCGGCGTGGTGGCACTCCGTGGTGTCGTGGCAATGCTCCACATGGCTTTCAGGAAGTGCCTCTCGCTGTAAGTTGGCACGCCATACCAAGCCACTTCAATAGCTCTCTCGCTTTAAAGGCGAGGCAGAGTTTCATTTAAATCCCTCGAAACAATGGCAATCCGCGCGTCACTCCCCCCGATGCGTGTTTACCTGTATATTTTTACTCCTAAAAAGTGGAGTTGTGACACAATGATTAGCGCACTGCGTTGCCAGTCACCAGAATGTCCAATGGTTTACGCTGGCGCTCACTACTCCTGGCTCAGAGGCCAATGAATGGCTCGAGAAATCCTGGCCGTGTCTTGGTACGTTGCATATCATCTTGTTTGTCTTGCCCACATGCGGTCGCTCTATCCACATTCCTGCGATAGAGCCTTCACGTGCACGGTGGAGCAGTGCTTAGCGCACTGTGCTCTGAGCTCGGCGACCTGAGTTCCATTCCCGGTCACAGCTAACACCAGTGGCGGGTTACATCTCAACCATGACTAACGCGGCATCATCCAGCGGTGGATCCATGAAGAGCTGTCCCAAGTCAAATTCAGCACCTGTATTTTTTTACTGCTGTCAGACAACGTACATTTTTTTACAATTTATTTTATTCAAATCACAACCCTCCCCCCACCCCACCCCCTGATGCGTTTTCGGGTTGTACCGCGTGTTGTTCGGCACGATGTCCGACGCTTCTGCGCTCCACGCGCTCGGAACTCTGAATCCGGTTCCCGAAGAAGCTGCCTGGCACGTGGAGCGAAACGCCGAGACATCGCTGCCGAACGACGGGCGGGACGACCCGAACGTCCTTCATTGGGCGTCTCTCTGAATCTAAACACACACTTGTTACGCTGAGCCTATGGGCCTGGCTGTTGGCTTTCCCAGTCGAATGTTCTCAAGCAGCATTTGTTCTGGGCAGAGGGTGCTGCGTGACTTCAGCCCGCTGGGTCTCATCAGAGCCACCGTGGCACAACGGAGGAAAGTTTACACCTCGGCGAACGGCTGCAGGTTTTAGAGATATGTATTCATACTGGAGGAATCCGGTGAGCTATAAAGCTCTTTTTGCACAGATATCCTAGTAGGGGGCGGTTAAGAACGTTACAACAGACGATACAAAATCATGATAGTGGTTCAAAGTACAAGGTAGACAAATCACCCTAAACACAAACAAATGAACCGAAAAAAACACCGTCCCCATCCTACTAAACAAAGCCCACTGAGGTATTAACTCATTATTCAGAAGCGACCTGGCCACCGCAATCGATAGCTCAACAAAGTGGCCCATCAAAACATCGTCACGAACCCAGGCGCCGGTTGGCCCCGCCAGGCCACACACAGGAGGTCCTTACCAACCAAAGAGGAGACGGAGAGTTGCTCCATGCTTCTGTGCCGCAGCTGGGAAACCTCCGACTCCAGTCCAAATAATGCCAGAGCAGCCAATCAGAATAACGTCCAATCAGTGTTATTAAACAAAAGGTGCCTCCCGACAGGCGAATTTTAAACGCAGCACTGTAATCGGTGCGAGTACGAACAAAGGAATTTTTGTTTTCCTGAAACTTACAGGGCGTAGCTTTTCAGAAAAGAGCCCCGTTGTGTTTTTTGTTTGCCTCGGTGGGGAAAGGTTTTATTCTTGGCGCGAAAACACCGGACAGTTTGGGCATAAATTGGAAATGCGTGAAACCAGAGGAGTGCGAAGCAGACGTTAACAATGAGGCGACGCTACAAATGTTCACGTGCTGCATCGGCATGATCAAAATGTGTAGCCATTTGCGAAAGACACAATTATGAAGAAACACGGCACAGGTAATGATCACGTAATAGTAAATGTCAATGCAAAGACGTACACGCAGACACACACACGCGCAAGTCCCATTGTGCGGTACTGGATCACGACAGTGACGCTTCACAATGGGACGCGTGCGCTGGAAGCAGCTTCAGCACCCACACCAAAGCACGCTTTGTGGCAGACGACGTGAATGGAAGCGGTGTTAATTTGACTTTGTGCTCATCTGGCGATACAATAACAACAAACAACTATAGGGAGAACATTTGCAAAGTATTCTCAAGGCTATAAGTAAAACAAATATTCACGTGGGTTATCAAGTTTGGTCAGAACAGCTTTCCACGAGCAAGGCATTAGCAGTGTCCCAGCACAGAGCACGGTGTGAAACCCATCGGCACCTGTTCACAGCCCATCGTCCATCCCTTCCGAGATCTATAATCGGAACACACACCGCTGTCGTACTGACACGAACTCAGCAATGACTGTCCCATGGCAGGGGTCGGCAAACAAAAATAACAAGAAGAGACATTTATATTTATTCTGGGGGGAAATCCCCCCCTCCTCAATATTTAAAGAGCCGGCAACGCACGTGGTGACTACGAGACGGCGGTGGTCCTTAATAATAATAGTAGTAATAATAGTAGTAGTAATAGTATTAATAGTAATAATAGTATTAGTAGTAATAGTAGTAATAGTAGTATTAATAGTAGTAATAATAGTAGTAATAGTATTAGTAATAGTATTAATAGTAATACTAATAGTAGCAATAAGTAACCGTCACGAAGCAGTCCTGAAGAAGCCGCTCGCGGGTCCGGAGCTGCAGGTTGCCAGCACAGGAATGAGGAATTTCCACTCATGGTTCAGGGCTGTGAACACCAGATAAGCAAGCAAAGCCTCAACGCCCATTAGAACTCTGAACGTTTGTTTGCGACTCGACACAGAAGCGGTGTGTTACACTAAATTAAGCTAAAAACGACGTTTTATTTTACCACGTGAGGCCCACCGAGCTCGATAGCTCGTTTTCAGAAGCGATATTTAAAGCAGCCAAAGGCTCTAAACGCGCGTCGATGCTGAATGTGGAGGGAAAACCCGAAGGACCCGGAGAAAATCCACTCGACCACGGGGAGAGAGAGACACGCAAACTCCAAATATACAGCAGCAGGCGTCAGGGTCGGAATCGAACCCACGACCTCCTGTATATCAGGCGAGGTAGTTAACATCTCACCACGGGGAGAAAGAGACACGCAAACTCCAAATATACAGCAGGTGTCAGGGTCGGGATCGAACCCACGACCCCCTGTATATCAGGCGAGGTAGTTAACATCTCACCACGGGGAGAAAGAGACACGCAAACTCCAAATATACAGCAGGTGTCAGGGTCGGGATCGAACCCACGACCCCCTGTATATCAGGCGAGGTAGTTAACATCTCACCACGGGGAGAAAGAGACACGCAAACTCCAAATATACAGCAGGTGTTAGGGTCGGGATCGAACCCACGACCCCCTGTATATCAGGCGAGGTAGTTAACATCTCACCACGGGGAGAGAGAGTCACGCAAACTCCAAATATACAGCAGGTGTCAGGGTCGGGATCGAACCCACGACCCCCTGTATATCAGGCGAGGCAGTTAACATCTCACCACGGGGAGAAAGAGACACGCAAACTCCAAATATACAGCAGGTGTCAGGGTCGGGATCGAACCCACGATCCCCTGTATACCAGGCGAGGTAGTTAACATCTCACCACGGGGAGAGAGAGACACGCAAACTCCAAATATACAGCAGGCATCAGGGTCGGGCTCAAACCCACGACCTCCTGCATACCAGGCGATGTAGTTAACATCAGCCAGTCTTCGCACGCCACGGTGGGAAAGGCAGGCGGAACGTGTCTCCCTCCCCTGTCACGGAGCGCCAGGCGATCAGCGAAAGCGTCCCAACTTGGCGAGCGCCGAGCAAAATCGGCGACAAGAATCCGAAGCCGGAGGAGGTCGCCGCCTTTCTTGATTCGCGTCTTCCCGAAACCAAAGGAAAGAAGCGAAAGGCGAAGAAAGTGGAGGGGGGGGTGGTTGTTGGTGTGTGGGGGGTGGTGGCGGGGGTAGACACACAACTACCCAGGCCGACTCACTCTGTATCCTCATGCCCCGCCAGCCTCGAGCGAGTGAGCAACAGCAGCAGCAGCAGTGCCGGACAGCCCCGCCACCAAAACTCCTCCACCTCGGAGGAGACCTGAAAAAAAAAGTCGCGACGCTTGCGGGACAGCGCATTCCTCTCTCTGGCTGCGCCCCCCCCCTCCCCCGTGTTGGGGTTTTCCTTCTCTCTCTCTCTTCTTTATATTTGCCTCGGAGCTCTTTTTAACAACAGCAGCAGCGACAACAAAAAAGTGAAATGCATCGCGTGCACATTTCTCGTCGGGGCGGGAGGCCGGATGCGCGGTCCACTCCGACTTCACGGACGACGACGGCGGCGGCGATGACCCTCGGTGGTGACCCTCGGTGGTGACCCTCGACGGTGACCCTCGGTGGTGACCCTCGTTGGTGACCCTCGGTGGTGACCCTCGACAATGACCCTCGGTGGTGACCCTCGGTGATGACCCTCGGTGGTGACCCTCGGTGGTGACCTTCGACAATGACCCTCGGCGGTGACCCTCGGTGGTGACCCTCGGCGGTGACTCTCGGTGATGACCCTTGGCGGTGACCCTCGGTGGTGACCCTCGGTGGTGACCCTCGGCAGTGACCCTCGGCGGTGACCCTCGGTGATGACCCTTGGCGGTGACCCTCGGTGGTGACCCTCGGTGGTAACCCTCGGCAGTGACCCTCGGCGGTGACCCTCGGTGATGACCCTTGGCGGTGACCCTCGGCGGTGACCCTCGGTGGTGACCCTCGACGGTGACCCTCGGTGGTGACCCTCGTTGGTGACCCTCGGTGGTGACCCTCGACAATGACCCTCGGTGGTGACCCTCGGTGATGACCCTCGGTGGTGACCCTCGGTGGTGACCTTCGACAATGACCCTCGGCGGTGACCCTCGGTGGTGACCCTCGGCGGTGACTCTCGGTGATGACCCTTGGCGGTGACCCTCGGTGGTGACCCTCGGTGGTGACCCTCGGCAGTGACCCTCGGCGGTGACCCTCGGTGATGACCCTTGGCGGTGACCCTCGGTGGTGACCCTCGGTGGTAACCCTCGGCAGTGACCCTCGGCGGTGACCCTCGGTGATGACCCTTGGCGGTGACCCTCGGCGGTGACCCTCGGTGGTGACCCTCGGCGGTGACCCTTGGCGGTGACCCTCGGTGGTGACCCTCGGCGGTGACCCTTGGCGGTGACCCTCGACGATGACCCTTGGCGGTGACCCTCGATGATGACCCTTGGAGGTGACCCTTGGCGGTGACCCTCGACGATGACCCTTGGCGGTGACCCTCGGTGCCGACGGCTTTTAACTCGCCTCGCAAGTACGGCACTTTCAGCTTCAGACAATTGCTCAACGTCAGTCGCAGGGAGTGCGATCGACGTCGAGCGCTTGGCGGGCGTTTGAGACAAGGCAGGTGGCGTCGTCACGACCGATAAGACTCCCACCACCACCCCCACCACCACCACCCCCACTCCCACCACCACATCCCCCACCACCACCCCCACCACCACCACCCCAACCCCCACCACCACCACCCCCACCACCACCACCACCACCCCCACCAACACCAACACCCCCACCACCACAACCCCCACCAACACCACCCCCACTCCCACCACCACATCCCCCACCCCCACCCCAACTCCCACCACCACCCCCCCCACCCACAACACCCCCACCACCAACACCACCAACACCACCACCCACACCAACACCCCCACCACCACAACCCCCACCAACACCACCCCCACCACCACCACCCCAACCCCCACCACCACCACCCCCACCACCACAACCACCACCCCCACCAACACCCCCACCACCACCACCACCACCACCACCACCCCCACCAACACCAACACCACCCCCACCATCACCCCCACCCCCACCACCACCACCCCCACCACCCCCACCCCCACCCCCACCAACACCAACACCCCCACCAACACCACCCCCACCAACACCACCACCACCAACACCACCAACACCCCCACCACCACCAACACCACCCCCACCACCCCCACCACCACCAACACCACCCCCACCACCCCCACCACCACCACCCCCACCACCCCCACCACCACCAACACCACCCCCACCACCCCCACCCCCACCACCACCACCCCCACCACCACCAACAACACCAACACCACCCCCACCAACACCACCAACACCCCCACCACCACCCCCACCACCACCACCCCCACCACCACCAACACCACCCCCACCCCCACCACCCCCACCACCCCCACCTCCACCACCCCCACCACCACCAACAACACCACCACCACCCCCACCACCACCACCCCCACCACCACCAACACCACCCCCACCACCCCCACCACCACCAACACCACCCCCACCACCACCACCCCCACCACCCCCACCACCACCACCCCCACCAACACCAACACCACCACCACCACCACCACCACCACCACCACCCCCACCACCCCCACCAACACCCCCACCACCACCAACACCACCCCCACCAACACCACCCCCACCCCCACCACCAACACCACCACCACCCCCACCACCACCCCCACCACCAACACCAACACCCCCACCACCACCCCCACCACCACCACCCCCACCAACACCAACACCACCCCCACCAACACCCCCACCACCACCAACAACACCAACACCCCCACCACCACCAACAACACCACCCTTCTACGAGCCCGCGCGAACCCTGCTGTGTGTGTGTTAGTATTACAGTGGTGTGTGTGTATTAGTATAACAGTGGTGTGTGTGTTAGTATAAGTAGTGTGTGTGTTAGTATAACAGTGGTGTGTGTTAGTATAACAGTGGTGTGTGTGTTAGTATAACAGTGGTGTGTGTGTTAGTATAAGTAGTGTGTGTGTTAGTATAACAGTGGTGTGTGTGTTAGTATAACAGTGGTGTGTGTGTTAGTATAACAGTGGTGTGTGTGTTAGTATAACAGTGGTGTGTGTGTTAGTATAACAGTGGTGTGTGTTAGTATAACAGTGGTGTGTGTGTTAGTATAACAGTGGTGTGTGTGTTAGTATAACAGTGGTGTGTGTGTTAGTATAACAGTGGTGTGTGTGTGTTAGTATAACAGTGGTGTGTGTGTTAGTATAACAGTGGTGTGTGTGTTAGTATAACAGTGGTGTGTGTGTTAGTATAAGTAGTGTGTGTGTTAGTATAACAGTGGTGTGTGTGTTAGTATAACAGTGGTGTGTGTGTTAGTATAACAGTGGTGTGTGTTAGTATAACAGTGGTGTGTGTGTTAGTATAACAGTGGTGTGTGTGTTAGTATAACAGTGGTGTGTGTGTTAGTATAAGTAGTGTGTGTGTTAGTATAACAGTGGTGTGTGTGTTAGTATAACAGTGGTGTGTGTGTTAGTATAACAGTGGTGTGTGTGTTAGTATAACAGTGGTGTGTGTGTTAGTATAACAGTGGTGTGTGTGTTAGTATAACAGTGGTGTGTGTGTGTTAGTATAACAGTGGTGTGTGTGTGTTAGTATAACAGTGGTGTGTGTGTGTTAGTATAACAGTGGTGTGTGTGTTAGTATAACAGCTGTGTGTGTTAGTATAACAGTG